TGGCATGTGCACATCCGACATACACACGGGCCAATTGACCCGAGATAAAGATGGACCACCGACCACGTAAATCAAATAACGGACGCGTCGTGGGACATTTTGTGATGCACGTTATTATCGCTGCTTCATTGCACGGAGATTTATTTGACAAGCATAGACTTCGTCAAGAAAGATGTGTTGTGGATAGATTTGACATGCATAGAACGAGCGTGTGCGAACAGACATACACAGTATGTAATAGAGCGAACTAACCATCGCAGCAATAATCAATTCAACGCGTTTACAAAACCTGTTTTACAAAACCTGCGGGTTCGTGCGACGCTGTCTGCCACGTTGTTGCGCGCAAACACGCACGCGGTTTCGCGCCGATGAAGAGTCAGCTAGGACGTCGCTGTCAGACACATCGTAAAATTAATGCTAATGTTAATGCTTAGATAGCACTTAAGACTAATGTTAAGACTAATTTTGTTTCTGACAACGGGCCCCAGGGCGCCGGCTCACAGGACTTTAATCACGGGACTCGCCCACGAAGGCGATTTGCCCTGTGCTGAGAGTGCGGTAGAACCATAGAAATAATATAGATAGACTAGTATATATTATTTCTATGGTAGAACACGTGCATGCACGCCGACTCCCTACCTCCTCAATCTAATGCGGGCTAATCGAAGGAACGCGAGTAGCGCATTCGTCTGAGCTAAGTCGTAGTTAATACACGCGGTTCTGTACTTAGCGTACACGCGTTCTTAAACTGAGTGCGTGCGTACGTGGGAAGGTATGCATGTATGTCTATGTGCATGATTGCGTGTGTATACGTATAAACAAGTATATGGGTTACAAACCCGCACGCACGTTGCCTAGAGTATTATATATCATATATGAACAATTATAATTATTTTTCTTGTTAAATTTTTATCCAAACTATAATACCTGGTACATTTTAATCTCGATGCTTTAATATAAAGATAAGATGCGATTATGTATAGTATAGTGTGTGCTAAGGATATCCGATTTTCTGGTCCTACTGTGTGCTACTTTTTTTACTTATTGCTATATAATGTGAATCCTTATATTTAATACTAAACATGCCTTTTTCATAAAATTGCTGCGTCGATAATCAGACACAGAATTACTAAATGAATGTGAAGGTCATTTTAAATTCCAGGCTTAACTGCGCGCAAACCTACTGAGATTGCACGTAGATTGCTCCCAATTCTACCTTGATGTTGTTTCATGTCTACTCATAAAAGCGTTTTAGTGTCAGCGGTAGTGCTTCCATTACAGCATAGCCAAGAATCGTTCTCCATAGGGACGCACTTAAAAACCTTTAATCGAATATAAAACTTCTCTACGCACACAAATTATACCTGCTGAATACATCGCCATAGAACATTTGATATTTCCAATAAAATGCTACAAAAAAAATTGATTTGTAACCCATAACGTATTTCCATATTTATTCTGAATGATTTTTCTTAGACCGACGCATACGTTTAGTTAAATACGCAATTCCGCGAAATAACCATTCTGTGTTGTGATTCCGGGAAAGAAACCTGTAACCGCAGTAACCTGAACAAATTAAGCTGTAACAAGTTATACCAACCGAACTACGTCTGCAGTTACTTCTTTACATGCTTACAAACTACTGAACTGGTTGCATCTTCGAACAATGAGGTATTCTGTCAGATATAATTTTAAAATAAAAGCATTGCCCAATTTGGCAACATCAGCCAAGTATTAATATGACAAGTATGTATTTTATAAACTAACCACATCAGCATTATTTCTTTGTTAGCGTAATGATTTCTGTTGTTCGTTATCTACCCCAGGCAAAATAAAATTTTATAGGAGAATTTGCACCTTTTAAACAAAGCCGTGTAATTAACATAATGACAGTTGAATGTGCACGTGCTTTGTAAAGATAAACATATATTATAACTATTTAAATGAGAATCTCAATCATCATAATTTAACCTCGACGCCAGAAATGCACATAAATATATTTCTATACAACGTCGAAGTCCACAGTTACTTCAGTACTCATTCATACTAGTCCTCTCATCCTTAAATCATTTGCATATTTAACACAATAACAAAAAAATCTTACAGTTACAGAAGTTAAATAACGAAAGGCTTGACTATTAACTGTAGCATTTAAATTTAGGAAACAGAAAAGAGAACCTGGGTTTAATTATATTGCATCTACAGACATGAGAACAGGTTGAGATGTTTTTGGAGGAATTATTTCATGTTTGTTGATTTATTTTGTGTAGCACACTGTCCTGCTAGGGGAGTCTGGGGGCATGCTCCCCAGGAAATTTTTTTAATTTGAAAGGGCAGATAGGCCCTTTCCATGCATTCTGGGGAAAATTGTAAGTCCATTCCGTTCTTAGTAAAAGACCAATTTCGTGACTAACAATTCTAAGTCTTGTCATTTTCTATGAAAATTTCAATGTTTTATGTGGCATGCCCTTAAAGCATGCCTTAATTTACATTACATAGATACACCGCGATATTTACCTGGAGTTCTGTTACTTCTGTGTGAAATTTGACGTACTTTTCCTGACTTTTTATGAAGTTTAAATTAAAAATGGTGTCCATTTTGACAAAAATAGTACGCATTACCCCCTACGCTTTTTATTCGTTTTTTGCATCAATCTCAAGAATGGCTAAAATGAAAACCAAAACCCAGAAATCCGCAAATCCGCGGGAAATTCTCATGCTTGCACCCATTCAACAGTGACAAAGAATGTAATTTTCATGTATTCATCATTTCATCTCATTTGATTAGTTGGCATTCACGGGTAGTGGGCGCTCTGGAATTAGGGAAGAGAAAAATGTGACTAGAAATGTCCACATTGTTGCCAGTGGAGATGGCTGGGGTGGCTCCGATTGCTGAATCCGCACAGGGTCTGTGTTTTGTTCTGTTTCCGCCACTTCCTGTTGGGCCTCCTCAGCTTGGCCACCCTGCAAAAATTTAAATTATATTGATTTTGAAGCCCAACTCTAAAGTTGTTCGTAATAGTCAGAACTACGAACTTTACCACAGCGTTTTGCTCATATGTTCAGAGAGTGAATGAATCAGCTGAAAGATTGGACCTCCTTTCAAGGTACAAAAGATCACTGGACAGCTGACAGGATCAGTAGAATGTGCATTTGATGTTCTTTTTAATAAAATAAAATAAAGAAAAAACGGTAGGGCCTCTGTTTCTTACTGGGCCTGTTGGACCTAGTATTCGAACACATCTCTGCAGCTCATTGTAGTGTTGCTTTAAAGGCCAGACACACTAGGCGATTTTAATGCGATCTAATCGGGCGACTTTATCGCCCCATAATATCGGCCGATTCTATCGCGCGAGTCGAGTGGACACATCACGCGATTTAGTCACGTGACTGAAATAATCACCCGATAATATCAAAACGTTTTGATCGATGCGATTGAATCGGGCGACTAAATCGGCGGCAACTGACGTACTGGACACATTAGGCGATTTTCACCAGCGATTTCGTCGCCCGATTTCGTCGCCCGATAAAATCGCCTAGTGTGTCCAGCCCTTTACATTGCATCGACTCATTGTTGAGGCACAGCCACAGTAACGAGCACAAGTCGCATTTCACAAGTTCCATATAGTACATACATCTAACAAGTCAGAAATACTGTTCTAGACTACACAATCCAACATTCCGAAATATCGTCTCCTGTACATTCTATCACAATACAGTTATTTCGAAAATGGAATAAAATACCTGCTGCAAATTATCCGGCTGCTGTTCCTGTTGCTGCGGTTGTCTTTGTGGTGCCTGCACTCTGTTGTTGTTGGCATTTACTCTTCTCGCTATCATGAAAAATCCCTTCTGATACCTGATCATAGAGAAAAATCACTTTCGTCAGAGAGTCACATGAAAATATAAACGCTACGCAGTTATATTACGAACTGAACCATTGGCGCTTCGGTGAGGGGATGTTTCTGAGAGTCGCGGATGTGTACTGATATGGCAATAACGTGATAGCGTGCATCCAGGTAGCAGTAGCCACGCTTGTGTGAGTAAATACTTTCATTTCTGCCATGATATCTTGTTCGGTTTCTATTTAAAATGATGGGCGGTTAAAACAGCCATTGCTATAGACAGAGCAGATTATTTTTTATCCCTATTTATTCTAATAGAAACTGCCTGCATGTTAGGGTTAGGCAGAGATTTTTTCAGTCGCCAAACGAGATCACCACGTTAGCACTGTTATAAGAATGTAAAAAAATCAAGTTGACATCACAACCCAACCACTTCAGGGTTAGGCAATACAGGGGAAATGCCAGTGATCTCTAGTTATTTGCTCTGAATCATGTCACATTTTCCGCGGTGTTACATGACTGAAATCCCATGTAATCATCTGGACACCCCAGATCGGTCCAAAAGTGGAGGATAACCGTGGAGAGAGAAAGAACACAGCTTGGTTAGCGATCCTGAAAGCACGAGAGAGAGTCATAGACAGAACTGGAGTGGCAGAAGGTCATTGCAGTCTTATGGGCCACGAGGCGCGAAGAGGATAAGTAAGGTAAGGTAAATGGCTGAAATAATGTGCTACTTGCAAAAGATTCGGATGTCGTAATGAATCAAATATATCACAAAAATATTGGAAATGAACCGAATGTAATATGCCCACGACCCTTTCCATCAACCGTATCTATAAAACCAGAATACTTGCATTTAGATTGTATTGTAGAAAAGGGGATAGTGTTTATATCAGATGGGATAGTAGTGAACAAATGATTCCTGTGCCAACGGGAACATATTACTGGTAATGCGTTACAGTCGGAATAACATATCAACCGCCGTGGAGTTTTGGTTGGACGCTGTGGTAATGGAAACCTGCTCAACACACTGCTGATCCATCGTCGTATAATAACGTGGGAATATAAACCTAATCAGTAAATTAATGTAATGTTATTCACCAACACTCATGGAAAGGTCATCTTTGGTACGGTATTTCGTTTCCCGAACTGCGTCAATAAAGCACTGTGATTCAATATCTAATAGCGCTGGCCGCAAATCAATAGTAGGCCTAAGCGTATTGATGAAAATGTTTGACTGCATAAACCACGACAAGAGCCTCTTCGTCCAATTCAGAGCACTTATACCCAGCAGAGAACAGCACACACGCCTGAAACTGAATAGTCCATATATATTTATATGTCACAATGCCACCGAATATCTGTCCTCGCTCCCAATTCCACCTTCCTATGACTCATGATACAATCATCTCGCGTTGAAGCGATGTGGTAAGCCACGGGTGTGATAAACGACACCTCACATATATTTATGAGGTACATTCAACCTACTGGCTAATGGAAAAAACCCTAGATACGTCGGCTAAAGCCCAAATCCGGTGAGAACTGCAATCTAGGAATTTGCGAATCAAATATCACAGCAGGAAATTGTGATTGTACAGGTGTTGTGGACGAAAATTGCACACAGAACATCCAGCAAATAATGGAAGCTATCAACGCATAGCAATCATTTATCAATCAATGAATTTTTGTAGTAATACGTAGATCGCATGCAGCTCATTTTGTGTGTACCTTTACCTTCCTAAAAACAACGCTACGCGGTGAACATGTTCATTAACTCATAATTGTGTACATACATAATTAATAATAAATAATAACAACGCGTGCCGAGGGCACGCGTTGGCCTTAGCCTATGCCATCTCGGGTTCCACGTATATGTATGTATTCATGGTTCCATGCTTAGCTAAATACGTGCGAGGGTCGCTACTCCTCTTGTCCGGACCGTTTCACATGATCTATCTCTTTTTGCTGAGTGCTAAGCAGAGAAAAAGACATACATAAAGTTCGTGGTATTTGTATGAGGTTACAAAAACAAAGCTATTACGACAACAACAGCAGTACGTTTTCAAATTAACAGGTAGCAGCAGTTCTCATTCCACCGACCAAACACCCGGTCGCCTTTGCTTTTGGTGTCGGGGTTGGCTTGTAACACCGACTAATTACGCGCAAAAACTTCGTCTTGAAAAAAACTAAGTAAGCTACTCAGTTGCAGGATTCTGAACTCCAGTGTGTCTGAGTCTACCTACGCTCGGCTCGTGTCTGCTGAGTGGGCAATTACAACGCTCTCTTTTTATCGCCAGAACTTAGCTTATTATAGTAGGTAGGCCAGAGTGCATTCACCCAATTATTTACACATATAAATCAATATGCTCATATTTAGATGTGTCTAGGCCTAAAGGTATTCAATTTAGGTATAAAATAGATGATGACCGGGGTAATAATACCAGCAGAAATCGTGCAGTCTTTCTAGACACTCGTTGTTTCCACTGATTTATCGGTGGCAGTAATAGTTAGTTATAGTGGTAATGACGAGGTAGCGTTGCCCGCTGTGGTGATTAGCGAATTCTCTCGAGAGGCAGTTGCCCGGTAGCTAGATTGACTTAATGGTACTCTAACAAATAACAACAACGATGAACTCATAAATAAATCAAACGCCAACTGACAGCTTCGTAAAATGAGACCGTTTGCCTACGTGCAGTTTGGGATCTATAAATTCAAAACATCGATCTACAGTGATATATAAATTTATAATACATAACTGTGGAATGTAAGATGACAATAATGCGATTTTGAATCGTAAAAGACATTTTCAAACTGCAGGGGTATTTCATTCTGGCAAGTAACTAGTAGCCTTCTAGCACTGGCTTTAAATCGTGAGGGTTTAATGAGATATAAATTGCTCAAATATAAGCATACAAAACGTGCGAATAGTTTTAGGCATTAGACATTACATAATCATTGACGTTTCACATAGCAATATAATTTAGGCTTACTGTCATCAGTTACCTGACGTTGCTCTCATTGCAAAAAACACATTATGATTAAAGGTTAACATCAACAAAAATAGCTGGGAAGGGGTTTGTGACCTTCTGCCAAATCAATATGTTGTTTGATTAAGTATACAGAACCAAGAGATTGCATGTTTATTTTCAGCTGCTTTCGGATTGAAGGCCATTCTCACACGACAGTAGCCTGCATCATTTATGTGCATGAAAATGATATGCATGCTGGACTGTAATCCAAGATCCTTTCCAATATAAGCGAACTGCCATGACATGCATCGAGTTACGCAATCCGGTGTATATGGTTGTATTGTATAGCCAAAGCCGTTTCCTCGTGTCTAATTACTCCCCTAAGCAGTTTACTAAACACTAGAATTTAAGCTGGGCTAGATTAAAAGTTGTCAGGGATTAAGGAAACCATTGCGCTCATGATTGTCAAGCTTCATACTAAGAATATTATAATCCTACTGCACTTAAAAATATGTCGGGTCTCATATCATACTTGTCTCTTTGGATTATGGAACATGTTTAACGGCGCTTAAATATGAACCATGAATGTGTGAACAGAACGTACGATAATGTCGACTTCATCGATACCCTTCGAAGCACTTACATCCCCCATACACACCTTTTCTTGAAATGTTCCTGCCATTACGGCACGGCAAACGGAAACGTTACTGGAAGTATCATTTACTAACTGCCGTCAGAGGAATTTGGCGTTTTATGACTTTGATCATGCTGAATCGCTTCCCAATCATCTTTATATTCAAATTGAGTTGTAAACAAAAGCTATATGGTGCAAATTCAAGATAATGAGGTGGTTGTGGGTGGACAGTAGCGTTTTAACCTCCAAAATGTCCACATAGAGGCGACTGCTGGCAGTACTGTCAGGCTGGAAGATCCACGCCTCTCTCAAAAGTTTTACAATTCCCCCACAGCAAGCTAATTACCGGTAGCAGTAAGACCATTATAAAACTTTGTATGCTTCCGTAGTACCTTTAAAACAAAATTTCATGTTTTTGCACGTTTCTCATTAACGTTTCCCACAATAACTCTCTCTGTCACAAACACATCCTTACGTAAAGCAAATTCATGCTATGCAACAGTGTTGTAGAGGAGCGATTAGTTGTGTCCCGAGGTGTTGGATGGTAAGCATATTAACCCTACCTAATGAAGTCACCAATCATCACGTGTTCATCAGGAGTGGCAATTTTCTCAATCCTTTTGATCACACCTCTTATTTCTAATAAATAATAATGAATAATTTAATAATAATAATAATAACAATATAATTGGATAATTTTTTAGTCAGGTGACTTTGGGCAACCCCAGAGTAGAAGACGAGAAGCTCTCTCTCTCTCTTTTCTCTCTCTCTCTCTCTTTCTCTCTCTTTCTCTCTCTCTCGTTTGTGCGTTGTGTGTGTGTGTGTGTGTGTGTGTGTGTGTGTGTGTGTGTGTGTGTGTGTGTGTGTGTGTGTG